GGGGTGGGGTTAAGTGCTCATCTTGGGGCTTAACTTTCACCCCAGTCCACTTAGCCGTTTGGTTAAGTGTTTGCCTCCCAAGAGGGAGGTCGCGCATTCGATTCTCGTGAACGTCGTGAGATGCTTTCAGGATCGACTCGTGAGATGCTTTCCCTGCGTCGACTTGCATAGCAACCTGCAGTGCAGTTAAACATTGTGTGGTGGTTGTGTCGACGACCTGCGGTTCGTTGTGTGTGACTGGGTACACCGGGACGCGGAGAAATCCGTGTTGGGGTGGGGTTAAGTGCTCATCTTGGGGCTTAACTTTCACCCCAGTCCACTTAGTCGTTTGGTTAAGTGTTTGCCTCCCAAGAGGGAGGTCGCGCGTTCGATTCTCGTGAACGTCGTGAGATGCTTTCAGGATCAACTCGTGAGATGCTTTCCCTGTATACAAACCATTATTACCCACCTCATCCGCTCACTTGGTTTGCTGCTAACAACACCAGTGTATCGTGGCAGTGCCAACAACAAACTCAACCACCACAACGTTGTACTTAGTAATGCACAGTGCGAAGATTACGAATACGGCGATGCATAACGTCGTTCATAACATGTGCGCATCAGTGAGGAAAGCCGCAAAACTCAGAGACAAAAACACAACGACGTTGTGCCTCAACAATCGGGGTACATTGAGACGCTGGCTATACAAACTACTGCCATGACCACACAAGTTCCCTCACAGATTGTGCCTGTATCGAAAGTCAAAATTAGATGAACCATGCAACACTGAAGGATCGGTAGGCCATGCTCACATTGTTCTTTTTATATTAGGAGTCAAAATCAAACGAAACTCTACCCCTTTTACTTCACACAAAACTTCTGCTCTCATTGAGTTCCTGTTTGAACGCCTGCGTTAGCTTATAACGGATGTGCTACCGCAGCCAAACTTTCCACTGCTGAAAATAGTAGCAGTACCAGAGTGAAGGAACCACAGTCTTAGTTCGTCGTAGCTGGCAACAACAGCAATACGACCCATAGAATCGAGAAAGGGCTCTCGATCTGTCAATCCTTGCTTACGAAATTAACCAGACAAATCACTCCACCAACTAAGAACGACCATGCACTACCCTCAATCAACTGCAGATCGATGGCCAATCTTCGACCATGCCCGTGATCACGTCAGGTGCCTACATCTCGACTTTCGGTTCAATCCGCATCGCTAGTTCGTCTTCGAGGTAATCTTTTTTTTTTTTTTTTTTTCTCTCTCTCTCTCTCTCTCTCTCTCTCTCTCTCTCTCTCNCTCTCTCCCACCCCCCCTCTCTCTCTCTCTAATTGATAGGATTGAACAAAGTCAAAATGGAAGTCTGGCTAAAATGCGGATGTATTCACTGCACTCAGAGTTAGTGAGGGGTTACTTCCATCGATAGGATGAACGAAAAACAGAGATAATCCTCCCCTAGAATACAGAAGTATTCACTGAGTTCGGATACACGTTTGGAGAGTTAGAGATGGGCTACCTCGATCGAAAGGATACTCAAACTGAAATAAATCTTCCGATGGAACGTGGAAGTATGCACTGCTTTTCAAGCTAGAGAGGATCTACTTCCATCGTTAAGATGCACAAAATCGGAATGAACCTTCCTCCAAAACATGGGCAGGTACACCGGCGCGAGGGGTCCCGGGTATTACGACGAGCAGCACCGGTCTGTGACGACGAGGACATCGAGCAGCACATCCACCAATAGTATGAGTAAAATCGAAATGAATCTTCCCTTGTAAAACGGGAAAATACATTAGCTCTCTGGAACACTCTTCAATTGACTTGCTCTCCACCGCGCAGACCATTTTTTTACTAAGTTTTTTTGCACTAACGTTTTACCAATTCTGACTTCAGAAGCGGGGCTGCCGGCCCCGAGCCCCCCCCCGTTCGAATCCTCCCTCGCTCGATTTGGTCTGGAAATGAGCGAGATACGCCTATGAATCCCCTCCGGATGCAGCCATACGCGGACTAGGCCGCAACCGTGCGGCCATGAAAAAAAAAAAAAAAAAAAAAAAACTTCAAACAATTCTGAAAAAAAAA